CTAATGTACGCTCACTTCAACGATCCGATAAATCACGACTGACCAGTCGCATGTGATACGTGGCCAAGGCTGCATTTATCTAACTAAACTCACATATTATTCAGAAGTAACATGACAGTCATGCTGTTGTCTCTGATTCTTGGGGCGCTTATAGCCCTTTACTTTTATCTGACGCGAAATTACAAGTTCTGGCAAAAACGTGAAGTTCCGTGCTTGGATGGAGCCCTACCAGGATTCGGTCACATGTTGCCGGTGATCTCCATGAAGACGTATTTCTCTGATTTCTGCTCCAAGATCTATAATGACCATAAAGGTTGTAGCATGGTCGGCATCTACGACTTCACATCGCCGTCGTTGATGATCCTCGAACCGGAGCTGGTAAAAACGGTGTTGCAAACTAATTATTCGAATTTCTCCGAGAACACCATTAAAATCGATCCCAAAGTGGACCCGCTCATGTCACATAATCCTTTCTTCCTTACCGGTGAGAAATGGTTAACCAATAGAAAGCGCTTGACTTACGCGTTTTCTAGCGTGCGTTTGAAGCTCCTACTCGAAAATGTTAAAAAGGTGTGTGCGTCATACGAGAATTACATAAACGAAAAGCTGAAGAACAAACAAACGGATTTCGAGCTGAAGACTCTGTTCGCCAGGTACACCGCGCAGGTAGTAGCCGCTGCTGGTTTCGGCGTGGATGGATACTGCTTCGATGACGAGAAAAAGGATATATCTTTCCGAAGACTCGGAAAAGCCATTTTCGAGCCGACAAAACGACATCAAATTATGTTTGCTTTCACGGTTCTCATTCCGTCGTTAAACAGAATCTTCAAAGTAAGCATGATTCCAAAGCACGTCGACCATTTCTTCAGGACGCTAGTTGCGGATCTCATGGAGCAAAGGAGGAAGGACGGAATACCTAGGCACGATTTTCTCGATTTGATGACCGAACTGGAACGAGCGGAGGGCACTAAATTCGACACCGAATATATTACAGGGCAGGCGATGTTGTTCTTCCTCGACGGCTATGAGTCCGCCAGCAGTATTATGAGCTACGCCGGATTCTATTTGGCTAAAAATCCAGAAATACAGGAGAAATTGCGCGAGGAGGTGATATCCGTACTCAACAAATATGACGGTGAACTGACTTACGAAAATTTGAGAGAGATGACGTTCATGGACCAGATCTTCAATGAGACGATGAGATTGATACCCGCACAAGTAGTCATGAAGAAACGATGCACGGAAGAGATCGAACTGAAAGGGTCCGATGGAATTACTTGTCGCGTGCAACCCGGAATGGAAATCCTGATACCGGTTCAAGCTCTGCACAAGGATCCTCAATACTGGAAAAATCC